CTCTTTGTTTGGAAAAGCATTGATTATTAATAATGTGGTCTTAGCCTCCATATGGTATAAATCTGCATTATGGACATTAACTAAGTCAAGTACAAAAGAACTAAAGAAACTGGTGGCGGCATTTCTTTGGAGGGGCAACCATGAATTAGAAAATGTAATACCTAGAGTAGCATGGCTTTCCCTTGTTCAGCCTAAACTCCGGGGAGGATTAGGGCTTCTTGATCCGACTGTACAATGTCAATCGCTAGCACCCCAGTGGATAAAGGATCTGATTTTTTCTAACGATAAGCCCTGGCAGCCAATGGCTCTGGAACAAATCCGAAGATTGGCGCCACTAACCACAGAAGACACTCATCCTTTCACGTGGATCGAGGATTTATTTTGGAGCATTCCAAGGGCAAAGACACTATCCAGGGAACATGGATTGAGGGGAGCGGCCAGAAGTGACTTACTGCTGGACAACTTATGGGTGTCGTTAATAAAAACATGGCGCAGTTTGCCCCTACCTAACAGGCCATTCCCCTCCCGATATGAGGAGGTACTAAGACAACCCCTCTTCGGCAACAGATGGATCACAGACCAACATGGTGTTGTATTCAAGAGTTCCGATCCCCCTTGGTCCCTGTGGGTTAAAAGAGGAGTGTTAAGGGTTAAAGACATATGGGATACGAGAAACAAGGATTGGATGACAGAAAAACAATTAAGAGGTAGACTCAGGTATGCCCACCAACTATAAAAAAACTTGGAACAGATCATCTGCTCTATTCCCTTAGCGTGGGTTCGAACGCTAAAGAAAGGAATCTTCTTCAAAGAGGGTGATTGGGTAGTAGGAACTGATGCAGAACAATGGGAGGTGGGGCAGATCATTCACACTCACGCAGAAGGGGCTATTGTGAGTATTTGTAAGATGACTAAAGATGGTGTCTTACATCCATCCCATAACGCTCAGGTAAAATCCGTCTCATTCCTGAATCTTTACTGGAGAGCATATAACCCTCTCTGTCCCATTCCAGATCTCCCCTTGGACCCGGAGGAGTGGATCTGGCAGACAAGCAAGAGAAGGAAACCACGAACTCTACATTCCATCACAGTCAAGGCTGCTTATCGTTTTCTCAGACCAAGGGTGAACGTAGAGGCAATAGTGCAAGAACGATGGTCAAGACACTTGAATATTCATAGAAATACTTTTAAAAATATTAAACTCTTCACCAGTTTAAAACAAAGACCAGCTAAGTTTGCCTCCCTTCAATGGCAGATTATTCACAGGTGCTTGCCGACAAGTGACTGGATAATTGATCATTCAAGTTTAGAACAAAGAGGTTTAGCCTCCCCATGGTGTAAGTCTTGTCACTCCACTTTTCCCAATCGAAGAATTTGTGAAACTATTGAACACATCTTTATGCAGTGTCCAGGTGCAGTCCTTTTATGGCGAAGATGGGACTGCACTTGGAGGAGGCTGACTGGGATAGACTGGCCATGGGAATGGCGAGCCATCTTGCTGGGTTACTGGGAACCTAAAGAATTCCAACTCTCTGAGTTTCAGAGTAATTTGTTTAGTATAGGAAGAAAGGCAATATTATGGGCCCTATGGTATAAACGTTGTGTCCTAACTAGAGAAAACGTGGCCTTGGAAGGGGGGGAAATCTCAGAGATAATTGTGCAATTTATTCAGACTGAAATCAGAGCACAATGGGAAAAGACTAAATCAAGACTCATGAAACTACATCGGAAGAAGGACATTCAAGAAGGAATTCAAAAATTTGTTCTGAACTGGCTGGGGAGATCTCAAGGGAAGGGCCTGGGAGAGGTGGARTGGCCAGGAGGGGAAGGGTTGGARGAACCTCTCGAGAAGAACTTCCATCTCTGCTTCTGGGACTGGTTCACACTACAACCAGGGTCTTCACTTAGATCTCCAAACTGTTTTGCAGATCCCTTTCCCCCTTCTCAGCTTGCTATGGTAGAATTACAGTGGTTYGATAGYGAGGAGGGGTGAAGTTAATTGCTTATATTTTTGCAAAAAAAGGGTTTGGGGTGCTAAGGGTAATTGTATATCTGGCGCCCGGCAGGGTGAAGAGGCACATTCCACAGTTTTCATTAAATGAGCAGAAGTTTATCATCATTATCATCATCATATGAGGGACGTTGAGCCCGGTTCTCAACAGATTCTGTTCGGTCACTCCGGGTAGACTGTGAGGACCCCGGCCTCAATCTTCGTATTGGTAATATCAGCCTTGGGCACAGGGCCCGCTTTAAAAAAAAAAAAAAAAAAAAAAAAAGGGTCTGTGTCACCCGTAGGACCCAGTAGGCCACTATCTCGTTTTTGCCATCTTCCCACTTTTGGCATCGACCAGACCTATGCAAAACCAGGTTCCTACTTTTGGCATCGACCAGACCTATGCAAATTGGCGCCAGACTTCTCGTATTTTCGCCTGGTTCCTAGTTTCTGCAAATGGCCGCCAGACTTTTCGTACTTTCGCCTGGCCCCTAGTTTTTTCCATTTTTCGTGTTTGGCGCCAGAACAGACTTCTGTTCTTGGCACCAGACCAGTTTTTCTTTCAGACGGACTGTTTCCTTTCGACCTAGGACACTAGGCCCAGCGTATGTATAGCTGGGTCGACCTCATTTCTAGGCAGGTAGTTCTCGAGGTAGTTCTTCAGGCAGTTCACTGAGGTAGTGCTAGCATTGGGTTTCTTCTTGTTGTGCTTCTTTTTCTGTTGAGATACGAGAGAGAGAGTTGACATTGGACATTCAGGAATTGCCCAGTTCAGTGACATTACAACTTGACATGGTATGAGGAGCGACATGGGGGATACGTTGGAGACGGGGTCCATCGGGCTATGGTGACTGATCCTCCCTATCTCCCTCTTCCCCCTTTTTTGTCTCTTCTCCCTCTTTCTGAGTGATGATGCATGCGGTCAGGTTCTGTCATTGCCCATGATGAGTCGCATCTTGGTATTACAGTCTTCCGCTGTGCTATTTTTGTATTGTCTCTGAGAGGTCGGTTCTCCGTTCTGATCGATGCCGATTAGGCATGGGACTCTCTCTCTCTCTCTCTCTCTCTCTCTCTCTCTCTCTCTCTCTCTCTCTCTCTCTCTCTCTCTNTCTCTCTCTCTCTCTCTCTCTCTCTCTCTCTCTCTCTCTCTCTCTCTCTCTCTCTCTCTCTCTGTGTGTGTGTGTGTGTGTGTGTGTGTGTCTCCTTCATGCATGCACTCACTCTCTCCCTCTCTTTCTCTCTCTCTGCTTGAAGATCTTGACTCTGAATGCGTCCACTATTACCCAGCTCTACCTCCTACTGCTAGCTATGCGGCTATGGCCGCCTTCCCTCTCAGCACAGCGCTGCCCAGCTAGGGCTCTCCCGCATGCCACTCACACTTAGCGCACAAGTGCCTCAACAACACTTCCACACGTGTCACAAATGAGCAATCTGCCTGAAATGTGGCTGGCCAGTCCTCATATTGACTTCGACTGAGCCTGGACTTGTCCCAGCCTCTGCTTCCTTTGGCTTGACTTAGACCTGGTACCACATCCCCACGGCCTGTTTGCTTCAGAATGTCGAGGCCTGGTACCTCCCCTGAATTTTCCTTGGTGTGCTCCTGCTTGGGCCTGTGAGTCACGACTTTCCATCTGTGGGATATGCCCCTTTGTCTATGAGACATGACCTTTGCCTGTAGAATATGAGCTTTGACTTCAAAACGTGACTTTTGCCTATTGGTCGTGACCCTTGCCTGTGGGATACGACCTTTGACTGTGGGACATGACTTTTGCTTATGGGATGTGACTTTTTACCGGGAACCTGTCGGACTTGCCCTCTGGGGTACCCAACGTAACCTTTCTGAAACTGGCTGACCTGGACCCTCTGGGCCTGGGAATTTTGACCCTGAGATTCGAATTTGGGGTCTGCATCGTGGAATGCCTTTCATTTGGACCATTTCTCGATTTACGTGTGTTATCGTTGCGCAGGGCAGGGCCATGCTAATCTTCTCTGTATCGTTCCAATTTTAACTGATGTCCCGAAGGATAAGTATGCGTTTTTCTTATTTTGCTGTTTTTCAAGATTCATGCCAGTCAGATTCGGACCTGGGACCTCCAAGTAGAAATACTGTCAGCTTCTCTTTGACACGTGCGCTTGTGGGACCTAGGCATCTAGAAGTCTCTAGGCTAGAGCCCAGTAGGATCACGTAGGCCCAGGCAAATGTGACTCGACAAAAGTGACGATCTAGTGACGATCTAGTGACGATCTAGTGACGATCTAGGAGATCTAGGAGTGTAATATCATCCAGTTTCCGTTTATGTGTTTTGTCTAGTGATGAGGAGGAGCATTCCTACTCATAGCTGAAGGGGGTCTGGGACCAGCCATAGCCGGTGTGTTTCGGCCTTTGTCTGCACGGTATCAAGTGCTGATTTTTGCAGGCTGCTCAGTTTAGTCAGGTGCCCAAGTGGGCAAAACTTTTATTCTCATTTGAATCAAGTATGCATCCAACTTCCGTTCATGGGTTTTGTGTAGTGACGAGTAGGAGCGTCGCTAATCTTGGCAGCTGAAGCGGGTGTGGGCAGATGAAAAGAGCCGCCCGTGTGTTCTGGTCTTGTTCTGCATAGCATCCAGTGCTGACTTTTGCAGGCTGCTGGCGGTGCTCGGTGTATCCCCAGGCGTCCAAGTGGACGAAAATTTTTCTCTCATCAAATCTGCTGCTATGATTCTTCAACTCAACCCTGGTGTAAAGCTTCCTATCAATTGTGATTTCCACACTTTTGTTTTCCATTTGGTTTGTTAAACTTTGTTTGGGTGCGCTGAAGTAATTGAAGTTATTGAAGTTATTGTCACTTGTTGAACCTTTGGCAAATTCTTACCAGTATGCTCTTTGTCTCTCCTGGCTGCCTTGGGGAGCAGGGCTCAGGGTATGATGTGCTCTCTGTATTAAATAAAGTTCATCAAGTTGGATGTTGTTTCCTCTTTCTCTGGATGAATAGCTGATACAAGATGGCATGACCATGGTATGCAGGTCAGTAGGCAGCTGTGGATACTGAGTATGAAGGACCAATATGAGTCGCTGGGAATAGACGATTTTGTTCCTAGAATGGCACCGGACTTGCAGGTTATTTCCAATTTGACCCTGATTGACCTCCTCCCTTGCCCTTCCTCTTTTTCTTACTTTCCCTTTTTCTCTGTTTTTTTTTTTTTTTTTTTTTTTTTTKTCTGTTTCCCACAAACAGTGACAATTTCATTGCATTACATGTTATCGAAAAATACAAAATCATTTGAACCATCAGGTACAGCTTAGTGCGCAGATATCGAAAAATACAAAATCATTTGAACCATCAGGTACAGCTTAGTGCGCAGATATCGAAAAATACAAAATCATTTGAACCATCAGGTACAGCTTAGTGCGCAGATATCGAAAAATACAAAATCATTTGAACCATCAGGGACAGCTTAGTGCGCAGAGGTGCATCCCTGGCATTCACGACGGCTTACGCTTACAAACCTTTTCTCATGATGGCGAATGTGTACCTTCTGAGAAGCCTTGGCATGACCTGCCACATTGGTCATGTCGTCACACCTGAAATTGCCTTCTGCCATCCATCCCCTTATGGTTTGAAATTATATATGCATACATGTGTATATGTGCAAGTGTGCCGCCTTGGCGGCAGACGGGTGTGTGGGCACTTGGCGCTGAACCACACAAACGTGGCCAACCTTGCATTTTCTATTATATTTCCTATCTATACCTTTTCGTTATGGATGGCTTGTGATGATTTGTTAAGGTAATGGCAGAGAGAATCTGTGGTTTTTTAAAACAACACACACACACACACACACACACACACACACACACACACACACACACACACACACACGACAAAGACTGCTTTGATTCTGAATCTATTCACCTGGGTGGAATTGGGGCTGTTGTGGGGAAAATCTAAAACACACACACACACCCCTGTCAGTGCGTTGTGGCCATCTCTCCCAGCCGCACGTCTGTTCCGAAAACGGTGAAAAGACAGTTTTTGTGTAATTAAGTTGATTGGCAGAGACTATCTTTGAGTTCACATCTCACTTGTGCTTCGTGTGAGAGTCGTGTGGATGGTGCCGTATATGGTTAGTCTGAAAGCATAGTAGTATATTTTCAATGAATCCAGACTGCATCTAGGCAATGGTATGCAGACAGTTTAGCTGCCTATCCAGAACTATCCAGAACTTCAGTTTGCAACCATGCATTTAACAGCCTGAAAGGATGAAAGGATACTTGTACTAAGACGCTCATGGATGCCTCAGTGTGAGTATTGCCCTGATTTGGTTTTCTATGGTTTTGCTGAAAGGCTGAGAGCGGACACACATTAAGGACTTTCATGGATGCATCCCTCCATAATTATCAACAGCTTGAAACGAAAGTCCCAGTGTGAGCACGCCCTGATTCTTGGTTGGTGGGTGCTGTTTTCTTTGTTTTTGTCAACCATTCTCTTCGTCTAGTCCTTAGTTTCATGCTGGCCCCATCTTTCTTTATCCTGCTATTCTGAGTTTCACCATTTTTTTTTTTTTTTTTTTAATTTGGCCCATTTCTCGATTTATGCGTGTCATCCTTGCGCAGGGGCCATGCTAATCTTCTCTGTATCGTTCCAATTTTAACGGATGTCCCGAAGGACTAGTTTCTCCTTATTTATTTATTGTAGTTATTATATAAATCTTGGTGATGCATATTTGTTATCTTGAGCCTCCAGCGCACTAAAACTGCATGTATGAAGTCCTCAAGGGACAAGTTGGAGCCCCTAGGCACTGGTGCTTTTCATGTCTTCCAACAAAAGGGGGGGGGGGAGAGGGAAAGGCCTTTTGACAGACATGCACTCTCTTTCAGCTCTTTTGGCCTGACAATGGGTCCAAGTCAGATGGATGACATTTTTTTGGTTCATTGCTCAGCGAACGTCCCATTTAGCTGTCAAGATTGCTCATGCATTCTGCAAATTTTGCCCGAGGGTTGTAAGTTGTAATTAGTAATGAGTCGGTGTTGCGGCGCACTGGTACGGTGTGCAGTGCGCCATGCGCGAGAGAGTGGTGCACGTGCGCGGAGAAAAAAAAAAAAAAAAAAAAAGAACACCCAGCTGTGTCTCTGTGTGTGTGTGTGTGTGTGTGTTGTCATATTCGCTATACAGTCAAAAAAAGCATGACTGTACCAGACTGTTTCGTCAGACTTTCACTGAC